TGATATGCAAAATAATGAAAAATGTAAAACATGCATGTTAACTAAAATCACTAGACAACATTTCTAAGATGTTGTTAGGGAAAGCAAGATGTTGGATCTTATACATAGTGATTTATGTGATTTCCATGCAACACCTTCCCTTGGAAACAAGAAGTATGTTGTGACTTTTATTGATGATGAATCTAGATATTGTTAAATCTATTTGCTACATTCTAAGGATGAAGCACTTGATAAATTTAAAATTTATAAACAACAAGTTGAGCTTCATAAAAATGAATTAATAAAAGTATTGTGTACTGATAGAGTTAGTGAGTATTATGATCCACTTTATTTTGAATCAACTGGAATAATACATCAAACCACAACTCCATATACACCACAACGAAATGGTGTAGCTGAAAGGAAGAATAGGACTTTGAAAGAAATGGTTAATTTCATGTTGTCGTATTCTAGTTTAAGTGAAGGGTTTTGGGGTGAGGCAATGTTAACTGCATGTTACATCTTGAATAGAACTCCAAATAAAAGGAGTAAGAATACTCCTTATGAACTTTGGTGTAAAAAGGTACCAAATTTTAGTTATCTCAAAGTTTGGGGTTGTAGAGTAGTTATAAGGCTCACTGAACCCAAAAGGAAAACATTGGGTGAGAGAGGTATAGACTGTATCTTTATTGGATATGTTGAGCATTCCAAAGCATATAGATTCTATGTTTTAGAATCTAATGACTCTGTGTTTGTAAACACAGTGATAAAGTCAAGAGATGCTATTTTTGATGAAGAAAGATTTACATCTATACCTAGACCAAGGGACATGATTCATCAATCTTCCAGCAAGAGTGCTACTCAAGATGAAGATGTTTATGGTGGTGCAAGTTCTGTACCCGAACCTAGGAAAAGCACCAGAGCTAGAAAAGCTAAGTCTTTTGGATCTGATTTTCAACTATATTTAGTTGAAGGAACAAGGAATGAGACTATTTCTCAACATCAATATTGTTTTAATATTGAAGAGGATCCAAAGACTTTCAGTGAAGCTATGGATTCTAGGGATGTACATTTCTGGAAAGAGGCAATTCATGATGAGATTGATTCTATCATGCATAACAATACTTAGGTATTGGCTGATTTACCTCCTGGTTGCAAGGCATTAGGATGTAAATGGATCCTCAAAAGAAAAATAAAGGTGGATGGCACAATAGATAAGTATAAAGCCAGATTGCTTATCCAAGGCTTTAGATAAAAGGAAAGCATTGATTTCTTTAATACTTATGCTCCTATTGCCAGAATTTCTACTATTAGATTATTATTAGCTCTTGCAGCTATACATAATCTTGTGATTCACCAAATGGATGTGAAAACTGCATTCTTGAATGGTGATTTGGATGAGGAAATATACATGAAACAACCTGAAGGGTTTGTGATGCCTGGAAATGAACACAAAGTGTGCAAGTTGAAGAAATCATTATATGGTTTGAAACAAGCACCAAAACAATGGCATCAAAAGTTTGATGATGTTGTCTTGTCTAATGGTTTTGCATTAAACCAAGTTGATAAGTGTGTATATAGCAAATTTGATACTTCTGGTAAAGGAGTCATGATTTGCTTATATGTAGATGATATGTTGATTTTTGGTACTGATTTAGAAGAAGTTGATAAAACCAAGAAATTCTTATCATCTAGTTTTGATATGAAAGACATGGGGGAGGCTGAAGTAATTCTTGGTATAAGAATTAGAAAAGGAAACAATGGGATTTCAATTTCTCAATCTCATTATATTGAGAAGATATTGAAAAAGTTTAACTTTGAGAATTGTTCTTATGTTAGCACTTCTATAAATCCTAATCTTAAGCTTCTACCTAATAAAGGATCTCCAGTGTCTCAATTAGAATACTCAAGGGCTATTGGTTGTCTAATGTATGCCATGATTAGTATTAGGCCTGATAGAGCATATGATGTGGGAAGGCTTAGTAGATATACTAGTAATCCTAGTTCACATCATTAGCAAGCCGTGAGTAGAGTATTTAAGTACTTAAAAGGGACCATGAATTATGGTTTAACTTATAGTGGATATCCTTCTGTTTTAGAAGGTTATTCAGATACCAGTTGGATTAACAACATAGATGATCACTCCTCTACTAGTGGTTGGGTGTTTCTTCTTGGAGGAGGTGCCATTTCTTGGGCATCTAAGAAACAGACTTGTATTACTAACTCAACCATGGAGTCTGAATTTGTTGCTTTGTCTACTGCTGGTAAAGAAGCTGAGTGGTTAAGGAATTTGATTTATGAAATTCATTATGGCCCAAGCCGATATCTACCATTTCAATCAGATGTGATAGTGTTTTAACATTGGCTAAGGATTATAGTCAAGTATACAATGGAAAGTCTAGACATTTAGGTGTTAAACATAACATGATTCGTGAGCTCATCATGACTGGTGTGATATATGTGGAGTTTGTAAGAACTCAGTTGAATTTAGCTGATCATCTAACCAAAGGGTTAGCAAGAGATCTTGTGCACAAGGCGGCTGTATGGATGGGTTTAAAGTCCACTTAAAATCTTTTATATTGAGATACCCAATTCCCATCTAATGTGATCTTAGATGTTGGATTCAATGTGGAAAGCTTGATATTTGAAGACTGGAACACATTATTATCATCATCCCAACGTATGTGTTCAGTACTGCAAGTAAAGGAGGTTGAATTTATATTCTTAATAGTTCTTTTGAAAAATTGCATTTGCAGGTGCAAGAATAAAAGGACTACCTATATAAGCATGAAATTTAGCTGCTTCAAGAAGTTAGGACTTGGATTTGATATGCTTATTGAAGGATGGGACACAAGCTAGTAAAATATAGTGTCAAGTTAGAACTTATGAGAATGTAAACTGTTGTGTGTATTATCTTCATGTATTCACTATGGATAGAAAGGGTTCAATTCTTAGCGACACCCTGATATTCGAATATTTGGATTGTGTAATATACTAAGGTGAAATTCAATCGTCACGATATTTCATTTATGCATCAGTTTGTGGTGTTATGTTTCATTTTAAATTAATCAAGATTACACTTAAATGGGGGAGGTTTGTTGGTGATTTGTTGTCATTAATATTATTTAAGTGTAATGGGATTACTTTGTTAACCAAAGGTGATCTTGATAAATAGTAAACAAGTAAGGAAGGTATGGAATACACACTTGTTTAAGTTTTATCAAGTTTTCAAAGTACACTGTCATTTAGGGGCGAAGCCCCTAAACGAACGGGGGTTCGGGGGCAGCGCCCCTGGGAGCGGGGTCCAAGGGGCAGCAGCCCCTGGCGGCGTCCATGGGGAAAAGCCCCTGGCGGGGGTCGAGCTACCAGGTCAGCGCGGAAATTCTTTTATATAGGGTATGTTGCTATATAAAAAATGCATCAGAAAATCGTATTTTCAGAAAATTGACCATTGTTTGACCCTTATCCAAACTTCCGTTTTATGTCAGTTTTTATAGTTTATGACAGTTAGAAACTGTCATATGACAGTTTTCAAACAAGGATCATAAATTCGGTTTTGGTCTCATTTTTCTGGTACAGACGAAACTATCATCAAAGCATTCTAAATTCTTGTCCCCCTGAGTCTTATCCGATTAAAGAATATTGGGAGTACCACCCAAATGCTTTAATCTGAAAGTGTTTTACACAATTCTCAGAATTTCAAGCCTACTATACCCCAATTTCTAACATGGACTATGTTTGACATACTAGATTAAAAGCTAGATGATAGTTGAAAAAATAGTTGTTAACTGTTAAAATATAATGTTCGATAGAAACTATTTGATTACCTAGTTCGAAGAAATAAAATGACCTTTAGGATAATGTGTTTCTTATAACTAATTAATGACATATTTAGAATATTTAAAAAAAAGACTAAACTGCACAAATGGTCCTTGTGGTTTGCTCAAAATTACCACTTTGGTCCAAAAATGTTTGGACTAGCACCAGAGGTCCAAAGTTTTCATTTTGTTGCTTGTTTAGTCCAATATGTTCTGATTTTTTTTCAAAATGATGGATTTGCCCCTGTTTATATGATTTTCTTTTTTCTTCTTATTTGTTTTTCTGATTTTCATATTTAAAAAAATAAAAAATAAAAAAAATATATCACTCTCTCTCTCTCTCTCTCTCTCTCTATATATATATATATATATATATATATATATATATATATATATATCTTCTTCCCTCTTCATTTGTTCTTCACGGTTCTCAAGAACCCCTCATCGTCAAATCCACCACCGTCCATCTTCAGCCACCCCTTATCCTCGCCCCCTTCATAATCTGAACATGGACCCAACACCGTTTTACCACCCTCACCATTGATCACCTTCACCATCCTTCAACCTTCAACTGAACCTTTCATCATCTATCACCACCCTTATTTATCAATCACAGCCTACACTACCCACCATTAGCCACCACCAACCCTACAACCCATCATTTTCTCCATCAAATCATCACACCACCATTGAAACACCATTGATTGTCATCAACACAAAATGATCGCCAAACCACCAGCAACACCAAATCTGCCAAAAAATAAGAAAAAGAAATTAACCAGTGGATATGTTCGTCACTTAATCTGTTCGTCACCCTCTCTATCTTTTTTCTCGTCGGATTTGGGAACAAGAAGGTAAGGGCGCCGTTCAACACATACTAGTGCTAGGATTTCCTGATGAAGATGTCGGAGCTAGGGTTTTCGGTGGATGATAGCGGCGCTGAAATAAGAATAGCCGCTTAGGGTTTTCTGAAAACCCTAACTCTTCGCCACCCTTCATCTTCTCTGGAACGTCGTCACCAAATCGCTAGGGTGTGCTGATGAAGAAAGCAGAGAAACATGGAGATAGATAAGGCTCGCTGGAAGAACGATAGTTTACAGATCTAGAGCTTTGTCGAGTTGCAACGGAGTTTTTCAGATTGCCAGAAAAACGAAGGTTTATACATATACACGACAGCGATGAGATCAGAGAAATGGTTTGCAAATGGATGGTGATGGTGAGATGGTGGTCCATGACAGGTGGTGGCTGAAGACGATGGTGACTGAGGGCGACGACGATGGTGGAGTCGACGATGAGGGGTTCTTAAGAACCTTGAAGAACAAATGAAGAATGAATGAGAAATAGTGTGTGTGTGTGTGTGTGGGAGAGAGAGAGAGAGAGAGAGAGAGAGAGAGAGAGATTTATTTTTATTTTATTTTTTAAAATCTAAAAATCAGAAAAAAAAAAAAAAAAACAAATAAGCAAAAAGAAAAAAATCATATCAACAAGGGCAAATCCGTCATTTTGAAAAAAATCAGAACAAATTGGACCAAACAAACAACAAAATAAAAATTTTGGATCAAAGTGGCAATTTTGAGCAAACCACAGTGACCATTTGTGCAGTTTAGTCTAAAAAAAGTCCTAAAAAACTAGTATATGTAGTTTTTTAAAAGAGTAAATTACACGAATAGTCCTTATGGTTTGGGGTAATTTGCGAGTTTGGTCCCTAACTTATTTTTTTAACTCGGAAAATCCTTACTGTTTGTTTTTGTTACGCACTTGGTCCATACTGTTTGTTTTTATTACGCGTTTGGTCCCTATCTTACCTAAAAAGACTATTATTTAAATAGGGAAAAATTGTGGGGTATGTAAGGTAAGGTGATGGGGGTGGAGGTGGGGGTGTGTTTATTTTAATAAATTAAAAAAAAATCACATGCAAAATAGTCTTTTTACGTAAGACAGGGACCAAGCGTGTAACAAAAACAAACTGTAGCGACCTTCCGAGTTAAAAAAATAAGTTAGGGACCAAACACGCAAATTACCCTAAACCATAGGAACCATTCATGTAATTTACTCTTTTTAAAAAGCTAGCTTATAAGTTATTTTTTAACTTGCAAAACATGAGAATTTTAAGAAGCTCGAAAAATAAACTAGCTTATTAGCTAGTTGCGGCCAATGTCAATAACGATCGCTATACCGAATAACGAGGCGATGCAATGCAGTGTCGCTATGTGGTTTATAACGACGTAATTGCGACATAGCGATATGAATGGGTAATTTTGATTATGATCCCATGCTCACCAATTTTTATACAAATTATATTTTTGGCCCCCAAATGAAAGATCGAAGTTCCGCCACTGAATACCATCCAAACAATTAATCAAATTCTAACAAAAATAGCCAAACCTCAAGAGAGAAGAGGGAGATGGATACTTGAAACTTGCTAAGGAGTGAGGTTGGTAGAAAATCAACTCACCAAAGCCCCTTTTTGGCTTTTGATACCTCAATCAACGGGTCTCAAAATTCAAATACACAAATTTTAATGAAATTTAGGAAGTAAAATCACTTCAATAGCTAGATGATCATGGGAATGTGACATGGGGAAGAATTAAGCCATTAAGGTGATGCTTCAAACGTGGGGAACAAAAAGAATATAAAATAACAGATAATATAATGTAATATTATGAATAATTTTTTGGTTACTCGGGTTATTTAAACATGAGTTCAACGGGTGTAATAACCTCTCTCTCGTCCTTTCTCGGATCACCACAAATCCCTTTTATTCCCTTCTCCCATTTCAACCCCATTTATCTCCTCCATTCTCATCCACTTGAAATCCTGTTTTTTTTCCTCTAAACTTTCAACAAAAAACACTTCAATTACGAAGCCCTCAATCCAATAAAACTTCTTTCTTGTTCTTTTCCTCCCACATTTCACATTTCTTGGATTTTCTTGGAATACTAGCCAAAACCCACCTTCCAAGATTCCCCCTACAACTCATCCCCTTCTGTTTCTGTTTTTTTCTGCGGCTTTTTGGCCTTAATCTTGCGAATTACGAGGTGGGTGTTCTTGACGATTTGACCTTTTGCGAAAAAGAAAAGGTAAATCTTTGATGTGGGCAAGAGTCGATTCGTGTGTTTGACGTTTGGAGCTGATTGTAGTTCCACAATAATGGGGTTTGAAGAAAAGAAGGAAGGAGAGAAGAGTGGACACGAAGAGAGTGGTGATGAGAAAGAAAGTCATGGTAATATGAAGAGGGTCGAAAGTGAGCCCTCTTTGTGTGAAACAGAGGATGAAGGTGAAGATGCCGAAGGTAATAAAATTCAATTGGGTCCTCAATGCACCCTCAAAGAACAATTTGAAAAAGATAAGGTACGAGATCTTTTAAATTTTAATTTTAATCCACCCTATTTTCTTTTTTCGTAATTTATGTCACGTATTTTTGTGATTCTTTGAGATTTTTAGGATGATGAGAGCTTGAGGAAATGGAAGGAACAACTTCTTGGAAATGTTGATATTAATGATGTTGGAGGTATTGTTCGTTTAATAATTTCGCAAGAATTTGAAATCATTGTTTGCATTATGTTACAATGTCATGATTACAATTCCATGTACTCGAATGTGCCCAAAAATGAATAATAGTTTAATTCAAGTAGTCAACCAATGCTGCCAAAATTAATGTTTTTGATCACATCATGATTTTCTAGTACCTTTGTTTGTTAGTCAAAATCAATGATATCGATGCTTAGGGGTGAAATGGTAATTTCATATCACAAATTCCTAAAAAAGGAAATGCGATTCTTTTCGGACATCTTAAAAGAGACGGTGTTGTTCCCAATTTTCGTATCTAAATGTGTAAAAGGAAATTATTTGTTTGTGACTTTACAATAGGGGTATAATGGTAATTTCGATCATGACTTTCGTATACCATAAGAAGAGAAATTATTGTCTAATCAATAATGATAGTGAATTAGTGATCAACGTATCAATTACATAGGGGCATTCTGGTAATTACAATATAATTTATAACTTTTTTTTTTTTCAGAATCACTAGAACCAGAAGTGAAGATTCTCAGCCTTTCGATCGTGTCACCAGGGAGATCAGACATTGTTCTTCCGATACCTGAAAACGGGAAGCCAGAAGGCCGATGGTTTACTCTAAAAGAAGGGTGTCGTTATAGCCTCAGGTTCTCCTTTCAAGTCAGCCATAACATTGTTTTAGGCCTCAAATACACCAACTTTGTTTGGAAAACCGGTGTCAAAGGTAACCCTAGCTTTTTATTCTCATCAATTTTAATGTGAAAGGAGTTGTCTTAACTCGTTAAGTTGTTTTGTAAAAATTGAGTTGGAAAAATCAGCGGTTTATTAAGTGCTTAACCGATTAAGCTCGTTATGTTTGTAGTGGATAGCACAAGACAAATGCTTGGAACGTTTAGTCCTCAAAATGACGCCTATACTTATGAGATGCCTGAAGAGACTACTCCTTCTGGATATTTTGCTAGAGGATCATATTCTGCTAAATCTAAGGTGAATTGGATTTTGAGCTTTGGTTCTTTTATGCATTTTGACCTTTGAAATTAGAAAATTTTCGGATTCGAAAACCATATATATGTTCAATTTATAGATATACACATGCATGCGTACATGCACCCAAATGGGCACGATCTAATTTAATAATGAGGAAATTACATTTTTGGTCCCTGAGTATTATGATTTTCTCAAGTTTGGTCCTAAAAGTAAAAAGTTCACTTGCGGTTTTGGTGTTTATTTGAGGTTCTTGTTCCAATTAAAATGATTATTTTTCGTTGATGAGTATAGCTCATTTTGCAATTTTGGTCTGAAAAAAAATTCATTTCAATTGGAATATGGACAAAAAAATGTTACAAAAGCAACCTTAGATAAGGATTAGAAATGCCAAAAAAACAATTATGGCACAAAAATTGAAAAAATCAAATATATTCAAGGACCAACGATGTAATTTACTCAATAATTGAACAAATATTAGTTAAATAAGAAATCATTTAAAAATGAAAAATCGAAAAGGGTAATATAGCGTTGAACAAAGCGAAAACGTATAGGAAAATACATAATAGCGACCAAAATTACAAAAGAATAAAAAACTCAGGGACCATTCTTGTAATTTACTCTTTCTTGTTTGTTGTTTTTTGTAGTTTGTGGACGATGACAACAAGTGCTACTTGGAGATCAGCTATTCGTTTGACATCCGAAAGGACTGGGCAACTGTTGAATAGACAAAAGAGAAAAGACTTCTATTTTCAAGAGTCATAGTAAGACATTAGAAAAACTCAAAAAAAAAAAAAAAAAATTACAAAGTTTGGATTCGATAGTTTCATATCTGGGCAAATTCATTTGTAGTGTCGATGCCATAAGCTGTTTGAGCGAAAGACTTGAATTTTTTTTTTTTTTTTTTTTTTTTTTTGTGGTGTGTGTGCTCGGTTAATCCTCAATAAAGAGGGAGATTAAGGTTAGATGTTCCTGGTTTTCCCTCAGTTTTCAAGATTTATGTGATGAAATTGTATTGTTGTTTTTGATTTTGTATTTTATGGTGTGCAAATTTGTGGTGTTGACTAATGACTTTGGGTTTGATCATGTTTAAATGTTTACAATGTTTATGGCTAGATTTTAACGGTTTGGATTGATTTTAGTTTTGTTCGGTTTTTGTAGTTTAAAAGTTTTATCACTGTAAGAATCGTTTTTTAGGTTGAGAGCACTTAAGACATTGGAACTTCAGTTTCTCAATTTGTATGATTAACCTTTCACACAATGGAAACGGGTGTATTAGAATTGTTGGGATTCATTTGGAATGTGGATTAAAGTTTACGGTGATAGGTAGAATTGTGTGGTTTTTATTGTAATCAACAAATATATCATATAGTAATATAATATGGACATAAGAATTTTAAACCATACTTGTTGATAACATTTATGTTTGTGGGATGATTGTCATATTAATGATATTAGTTACCATAATAAAAAAGGATGCATCTTAATATATGAATTTTTATCATTTTCATTGTCATATTAATGATATTAGTTACCATAATAAAAAAGGATGCATCTTAATATATGAATTTTTATCATTTTCAACTCATGGCATATTGCGATAACAATGACATCTCCTCTTTTTATTTTAATAAAAGAATATGTTTATTCTTCTTTTGTCATATATCATCCTATTAGGTTTTATAATTAATATCATGTCACTTGTCAACTTGTAACATCCCAAAAATCAAGGTAAATTTTTTATTTTTTAAACCATTTAATAACTCATAAGTCTTAAACAAACATAGTTTTCAAAAGTCATAAACATGAATCAGAGCATCCTAAAATCATAATCTTATAAAAATCAGGATGATGTGCACGATCAAGCCTTCGTATTGCCCCAATCATCTGAAGTACCTGAAACATAACACTTAAATTGTAAGCCAAAGCTTAGTGACTTCCCCAAAATACCACCACACAGTATAACATATACAATCACACATGTTGGGTCTACTCAATCATCGGACTGGAATATCATCGGGTCCACAACCATTGGGTTTGATTACTCCTAAGCCCACAACATGAGTCAGGCTTGCCTTTCTGGCCCACAGCTCATGTCTGGATTGCTCCCGAGCCCACAACATAAGTCTAGCTTACCTATCTAACCCACAACTTATGTTTGGCTTGCTCCTAGGTTTGTTGGCTTTCACACAAAGCAACATTGCCTCAACGAGTTAGAGGCCCCAACTCATCAACTGGAGGCTAAATTTGGACGCGAGTGAAAGGATCTACTCGCTGAGTTGGAATCCCCGACTCGATGAGTAGACCTGTCTGAATGAAACCTTAAATTTGAGGGTTTGCACCCTATTTTAACACATTAAGTGGCCTCCACTCTAGCCTCCATCACCCTCAGACCCCATTCTCAAAACCCTAATCAGTTGTGAGTGTTCTTGAGCTATTTTGGTGCCATTTTTGTGATTTGAAGCTTGGAGAAGGAAGGAAAGGCTTGGTGGTTCAAGAAGAAGGCAGTAGATCTAGAGTCTTGGTTGCATTTCCAGCTTGTTTGAGGTAAAAAGCTTCAACCTTGACTTCCCATTTGTTAGATCTTCTTTCAGGCTTGAATCTTGTCATTTTTGGGGCATTGCTAAGTCACCTTCGGGTTTAAAGCGTAATATATAGTGTTGACTTCAGATCTTGAACCTTGGAGGGTTCTCATGGCATAAAGGTGCTAAATTTATTGTTATAAGAGTCCCATGTACCATATAAACCTCTTTTTAGGACCATTTGAGCCAAATACCCCATGCATGAACATCAAGTTTGTAACTTTACGTGTAATATGGACCCTAGGAGATCAGATCTAGGTTTTGAATGCATTAAGCCAGACTGAAGTCAACTGAATAGTTTTGGACATGGACGGACTCGATGAGTCACTCATGTGACTCAGCGAGTCGGGTTGCAGTTTCCCACAAACCTCTTCTGATATTGGGCAATGTGTTGAGCTGGAAGAACACTCAGCTAGTTGGATTCATTGTGGGCCTGAAGATCATGGAACTCCGCGAGTTCAAGACTAAGCCCCAACTGCATAAGGAACTCGGCGAGTTCAGGACTAGACATGCCTACAAACCCTAATGCTTGGATCTAGGTTTCTCTATTAAACATGCTTTGAATCCAAGGCTTCTAATGACTTATTAGGTGTAAGAACAACACAAAACAGATCTAGAAACATACCTTTGATTCTCTTGTTTGATCTTGTTGTCTTGGAGCTCTAGAGTCACAATTGTCACTCCTCTAATGGCTTACAAACACCAACTAGCAAAGAGGATGATTTGTGTGAGAGGAGAGGGGATGGAATTCGACCAGAGGATCCTTACTTTAGAAGATGTGTTGAATTCTCTATCCCATAGGGTCTATTTATACTTGTAGACTCCATAAGGGTTACAGCTTAAACCCTAGTTGGATAACTATTACTCAAAGCAATCCAAATCCTTCCAAGATAATGCCTTGGACAAATTTAGGAATTATCCTAGCCTAGAATTTGTCCAACCCTTTATCCAATAAGGATTTACAGTCTAAAGTTTAACTATCAAACAATTAACAGTTTATACCCTCTTATTTAATTAATCTCCTTAAGTCACCAAATTAATACTAATTAATCTATGACTTATATTAATCAAATAACTATATTATTATTCCTTATATTATTCTCATAATGTATTAATAATATCTATTCTCTCATAATAAATCATCCTACCAAGTTGTTATGGTGAAGGCAACCCAAAAGGACCATGCACAATCGGGTCAAATACTTGCCTAATATAGTTGCAGCCTTAGACACTATTCCAACAGTCTCCCACTTGGATAAGTCTAGTAACTATATGCGCAGGTACACTCCGATTTGCAATCGTAGCTCTCAAAGACGTTGTCAAACTATGATCTAATCAATCTTGTCCTTTAGATAAGGGATCGTACAGTCCTCTGTTAGATATCATGCTGACAATACTATGGAATAGTTAGTCCAGCATTTGGTTTCTCGATTTCCGATTTATTTGACATAGAACTTAATCGAACACATCAATTCAGTTCTGACCAAGCCCGGCACATAAGTCAAATCAAATCATCGAGCGGCCGAGATATCACTTTTTCCTTCTTAGGATAAAAGTTACAGATAAACTTCGACGTATATGCATTTACTTATTCATTAACCAACTACACACAACAATGCATTTTATAACATCGAGTTACCAATGCGTTTTCGCATTATCAATGTACAATCAATTAACCAATAACAAACCATATATCTAGGTTTTAAGACTATATGATATTATCGTCTTGCGATCACCTTTTACTATCTTATTCCATAAGGTGATTCCAGCAAGCGCGGGTTTGTTCCAATGCTCAAACCTAATTCATAAGCACTCATGAACGTTGCAGCAATCTTTTGCTATGTCTAACACCATTTAGACACTCTACATACCTATTCATGACAATATTCATTCATATCTACTTCCAACATATGAACGATTGTGGACTATTTGAACAATTCGATTATTCTTAATAAAATCAATTATTCTGGAAGTCAAAACATGCAAAGTGAAACAATAGTTAAACAATTAACATAAGATAGTAACATTACTTATAAATAAAACTCCTTTATTTAATCATCAAATGTTAATTACATTTATCTATTACACGTTTCTAATACTATCTAATCTATGCTAATATCATCATTCAGCCCAATACTCCTAGCATGCTGCAAATGCTTAACCCTACTCAGTCCCTTCGTAAGTGGATCTGCTAGGTTATCTTCCGATGATATTCTCTTCACTACGAGTTGTCCTTCTTCTACATGATGTCTAATAAAGTGATATTTTTTGTCGATATGTCGTGATCTACCATGATCTCTCAGTTCCTTGGTCAAGGCAACCGCTCCCTCATTATCACAGAAAATCTCCATGGGCTCCTTTATGGCAGGTACAACTCCAAGATCACTAATAAAGTTCTTTATCCATATTGCCTCCTTCGACGCTTCGCTTGTTGCGATGTACTCTGATTCGCACGTTGAATCAGCTACGGTTTCTGTTGGATTAGTGTCTAAGTCCATAACTATTTTGGTATGTACTTGACCCGATGGTGCATGGTCCTTTTGGGTTGCCTTCACCAAAGCAACTTGATTGGAGAAATATATAGAGAGAGAGGATAATATGATTTATTAATATGTTTTAAGAATAATATATTAAAGGAGAAATCATATTTGTTTAATTAATATTGGTCAATAATTAATTAGGAATTAATTTTGTGATCAAGTGTAATTAATTAAACTAGAGGGGCTAATTTGTAATTATGTGATAGTTACAAAATAAGGTAAGGATTATCTTATTATTAGGGTGAACGAATTTGAGGTGATAAGGCCTTAGAATTCGACTATGATAAGGATTCAAAGATTATCTTATAGGTTGCTTTGTGGATAAGCATCTAGATAAGGATAATGACTGAAACCCTATCTGAACACCTATATAAACACCCCTTGGCACATGAATTCGTGTATCCCTTCCCAAGAAGTCCTAAGGACAAATTCTAACCTCTCTCCTCTCTCTTTATACCTTCTCCATTTGCTCTTGGTGTTTGTAAGCCATTAGAGGAGTGACACTTGTGACTCTAAGCATTCCAAAGTCAATTCAAGGAGGAATTGGGATTGTTATTGCTACATAACAATCAAGGTAACACCTTAAACCTAATTATATGCTAATGTCGATTTCATATGCTAGAATTAGGGTTTATAGTCTTGGATAACTTACATGTACAATAGAGAAACCTAGATCCAAGCATTAGGGTTTGTATGAGCACATAGGATGTCTTATGACCA